AACAGAGAGTAGAATGGAGTTATTAGAGATTAAGGATGTCTATGAAGTACATGTAAGTAATTAATATAATGTTAAACATTCAATATTCACGCCTGTATAGCGGATGTGCCCGAGCTGATAAGCAGAGCGCGCTGAGTAGATTGAGCGCGCGGCTGCACAGATGCGCGAACTTGTCGAGTGAATATCTCACAGACATCACTGGAAAGTTTGTAGTTCGGTCGGATATGTCAAAAACAAGTAAGTAAAACAATGCACAAGTTACTAAAGTTATTTGACGGTAAGGAGAGCGAGAGAGAGAGTGAGAGAGTCCGAGAGCGCGCACTTCTGTTGCATGATCTTGATTGCTGTTCGCTCCATTAGCGCATTCATTTGGATTAAAACTAAATCACAAATATAAAACAAACTAAAATTATAGGGGCATTCACTATAAACAGCATTTATTTTAAACGTCAAGCATACACAACTTTATTTAAAGCAGAAGTGAAACTAGCAGACTGGGTGAAATGTGCTAGGCTGTAAGTGTCTCTCTCATTCTGCACCAATACAAACGTGTGCGCGCTGCGTATGTTTAGCATGCTTTAAGGCCAAAGTATACTTCGGTTTTTACTGTTTTATCTGTTTGCTAAATGAAGCCAACTAACATGATTCATATTATTATTATTATTATTACCATTATTTTGTTTCTGTACCCAATATTTAAAAAAACATTACAAATGCTGTGAAAATACAGGTATCGGTATCGGCGAGTACCAAAAATGAAAGTATCGGTATCGGACTCGTTCTGAAAAAAGTGGTATCGGTGCATCCCTAATAGCAAGTGTAGGAAAAGACACAAAGTCTCATGGCATTCAGATGAAGAAAATAAATGAATAAATAAATACCTACATAAATACACACATACATACAGTACATAAAAAGCCCACACCCCAACAGCCTAGAAACTAATTAACTACTTGAAAATACAAAACAAATTAAATAAGTGAATTATTAATGCTAATAATTATTATTAAATAATGCATTAAATACCTTTAATTAGTTCTAGATATCATTTTAAAAAGTCAAATACTTGTAAACATAGCTTTAAAAAGGACACACGAAAAGAGATGTTCTGCATTTAAACTACAGCACTTCATGCACACATCTATTTTGACATAGTTTTGTCAGATGTTTTGTCCTGTTCGTTGCTACGGTTATCACTGTTAA